GCGCCGCTTGGGAGCGCGGCGGCACTCCCGCCGAGGGCTTGGATCCCACGTACAGACCGGCCGCTCACTGGCTGAGCGAGGTGCGGGCGCAACACCGAGGGTTGCGATTCCATTGCCGGTCCCAGTCCGGTACGGGCGCGACACTGAGGGTTGCGATCCGTTGCCGGTCACGAAAAAAGACAAAAAGGAAAAAAAAAAAAAAGAAATCTGTTTGGCATCATTTCTCAACAGAAACACTGGAAAACAATGCTACAATGCCTGACAAAATTTGAAGGGAAAATCATTTCCAACTTAGATTTCTTTTTCTTTGCTTTTTAATACTTGTAAAGTGACCAGTGGGGGGCAGGGGTGGGGGACCAACTTAGAATTTTATGCCCAATAAATTATCATCCAAAGATAAGGTTATGAGAAAGACTATTTCAGATCTGCAAGGCCTCCAAATATGTACCTCCCATGAACTTTCTCAGGAGGCTAATTGAAGGTTTCCTCCACCAAAAAAAGGACCTAAGCTTAGAAAGAAAGACATGGAATCCCAGAGGTAGTGTATTCAACACAAGAAAAGAGAAAAGGGATTTTCAAGATGTTGATGAAAAGAAACATTAAAATGACACTTGTATAGCAAAGTATGTAAAGGGAAATCTGTGCCAGTCGGCCAAAGCTTCTAGGAGTGATTTCATTAATAAGATAAAACAGAAAACAACAGAATACTTTCAGTATCTGAACATACTGAGAGGAGATTTATATAACTCAGTTGGAGCATGAAGCTGAATTCATGATAAGTTCATAGAAACTAAGCAAACTAAACAAGAAACAAGACATCATAAAAACCAAGAAAAACAAACTGTACAAGAAAGATAAATGTTACTGAATTACTACTACATGGCTTAACTGGAAGCTTTCACAATTATGATAATGTAAACACTGAATATTTATTCTAACCAATATTACAATTATCACCAAATGTAGAGAGAATAAGAAAGGGGGGCAGGCATGAATGAGATCAAAATTATCATCTTCTGTATTGAGAAGTCAGTAAATAATGGCTAAAACTAAATAACAACATGAAAAAAAAATGTTTAAAGAGATACAGATTAAGAAAACCACATCAAAGAGTTGAAAAATAATTGCTTCTAGGAATAAAGAAATTGATTTGTCTCAAGGAAATTAGAATTGCTGTTTTTCCTAACAGCAGTAAATAAGCCTTATAGAATGATTGGATTATTTAAACAATGTGTATATATAACTTTAATTTTGTTTAATAAAACTAAAATAGAGAGAATCAATGAATCCAAAATTTCGAGAAACTAAGACCCTCATAAATTGCTAGTGGGAATATAAAATAGTCCAACCACTTTAGATTACAAGTTGGCAACTTCTTAAAAATTTTAACATAAATTTACTATATGATGCAGTAATGCTGCTCCTAAGAATTCTAAAAGAAACAAAAACAGGGCGGGCCAGTTGCTCAGTTGGTTAGAGCACAGCCTAATAACACCAAGGTCACAGGGTTCAGATCCCCATACCTGCCAGCTGCCAAAAAAACAAAACAAAAACAAACACATATATCAACAAAAAAATTTATTTGCAAATGTTCATGGCAGCATTATTCATTGTTCATAGTAGCCAAAAAGTAGAAACAACTCAAATGTCTATCAGCTGGTGAATGGGCAATCAAAACGTTTTATATCCATGTGGTGGAATACAGTACTTCCCCCTTATCTGTGGTCTCACTTTCCACGATCAAATGCAGTCTAAAAATATTCAATGAAAATTCCAGAAATAAACAATTAGTAAGTTTTAACTTGTATGACATTCTAAGTAGCATGATGAAATCTCACATTGTCCCACTCCATCCCACGAGGGATGTGAATCATTCTTTTGTCTAGCATATCCACCCTGTATACGCTACCCTCTTGTTAGTCCCTTAGTAGCCACCTTAGTTATCAGATGGACTATTGCAGTATCACAGTGTTTGTGTTCAAGTAACCCTCACTTAACTCCACAATGGCCCCAAAGTATAAGTGCAGTAATACTGGCATATTGTTAAAATTGTTCTATTTTATTATTAGTTATTGTTATTAATCTTTTACTGTGTCTAATTTATAAATTAAACTTTATCACATGTATGTATATACAGGAAAAAAACATACTATATATGGGGCTCGGCACTATCTGTGGTTTCAGGCATCCACTGGGTGTCTTGGAATATCCCCAGCAGATAAGTAGAGAAGGCTACTGTTCTATTTAGCAGTTAAAAAGAAAAAAAGTACTGATAATATGCTACAACATTGTAAACTTTAAGAATATGCCCAGTGAAAGAAGCCACATACAAAAGATCACAATTTGTTTGATTCCATTTATATGAATTGTTTAGAAAAGGCAAATCTATAGAAACAAAATAGATTCATTGTAGAGTTCAGTTTTTTCATTTTTTTTTAAGGTGGGTCAAAGTTGTAGAGTTTAAATAACATCATCCAGATTCTAGAATTGTGAAAATTAATCTAGTCATTAAAAATTACAACAGATAGGGCCGGCCCGTGGCTCACTCGAGAGAGTGCGGTGCTGATAACACCAAGGCCCCGGGTTTGGATCCCATATAGGGATGGCCGGTTAGCTCACTGGCTGAGCGTGGTGCTGACAACACCAAGTCAAGAGTTAAGATCCCCTTACCAGTCATCTTTAAAAAAAAAATATATATATATTACAACAGATATACAAGGGTACTTTAGAAAGCTCATGGAAAAATAGAATTGAAATATAATGTAAATCTTTCTGTGAACTTTCTAAAGTATCCTCATACATTGATGTGGTAAGAAGCTCCTTCCAAAATTGAAAAGGCAGGGCCGAGCCCGTGGCGCACTCAGGAGAGTGCAGCGCTGGGAGCGCAGCGACGCTCCCGCCGCGGGTTCGGATCCTGTATAGGAATGGCCGGTGCCGAGCGCGGTGTGGGCGACACCACACGAAGGGTTGCGATCCCCTTACCGGTCACGAAAAAGACAAAAAAAAAAAAACCAAAATTGAAAAGGCAGGATACTAAATAATGTGAAATATCATTGTAATGTATAAAATATATATTTTTATAATATACTGATATCTTAATAAGAAAAAGTCTGGATAAGTATTTACCAAAATGTTATCAATTGTTAACTCTAAGTGGTAGGATTAAAAGTAGTTTTATTGTTTTGTTCGATGAATTTTTAAATTTTTCTAAAAACACATGTTATTTGTGTTAAAATATACATATACATACACTAGTGCACATATAATAAATATACATATACTGTAATATGCATATATGTTTATATGTATGTATATGTATAAAGTAGAACATCAGAGCAAGAAGGAAAGAAACATGAAGATCCTCTATTTAGCAGTTTTTGGTGTTTTTGTTTGTTTTTGGCAGCTGGCCAGTATGGGGATCCAAATCCTTGACCTTCGAGTTACCAGCACCATGCTCTAACCATATGATCTAACCCGCCAGCCCTCTATTCAGCAGTTTTTGAACCATATTCCTCAAAGTGGTGGGCAAAGAACAAACTGATAAAGCCCCACACTTGCCCCCCCGCAACATGTGGGGAAAAGGGGAAAAAAAAGTCCTCTTTAAGATGAAATTTTACCAAAGAAAAAAGTTTATGTTTTATTTATTCCTTACCTTGCTCCAGAAAGGATTTTTTTTTCCAGAAAGCCTTAAAGCAGCTTCTAAAGATAGGTGGAAAACATTTGCATAGCAAACCCTATTTATAGGTAAAGTACATGTTAGTCATGGTACTTGCCCCACCCACACAAAGTGCTGAAAATGCAGTCTAGATGACTCCTTCTCAAACTAAATATTAAAAAGAAATTTGAAAAACAGACAGAAGACAACCCCAAATGTTTTATTTTTAGATTCAGCAGACAGAAAATTACTGTTAAATGACTACAAGTTTCTTAACATTTACTTTCAATTTCTGTACTTACTTCTTTGTAAACCACACTCAGGAGAGAGTTATACTCTCCTCCTGAGTGGTCCAGTTTCATATTATGAACTCCACCCAGAAGAGGTAAAGGAACTAAAGGTAGGTACTGCACCCAAAAGCAGAAATCAAGGGTACAAAAAAGATGAGCAATAGTAACTAGGTGCTCCTCCATGGAAAGTAAACTGAGAGATACCAAGTAAAGGGGCAGTCAGCAACAGGAGCTAAAACTAAAATAATGCTTAAACAGAAGCCACAAATTGGAGCTGGTGCAATGAAGAAAGAAGACGAATTAGAGCCACAGAGGTTAGGGGAAACAAAACAGAAATGTAAACAAAGCAGGAAAACATTTGGAGTACTGAAAAGAATAAGTGTCTAGTGAAAGGAAAAGGTGTGCACTTTTGTGGTCCAAGTTAACAAAGATCCTACAAAGTCTCTAGATCCAGCTCTAACTCCTGTGAGCTTCATTCCTGTTTCTCCAATTCCATGAAATTTCTACTTCCTTTACCATGCCATGAGAATTCCTAACATTAGCTCCACCAACCACTTTCTTCTCTCTGTTCCTTGCAACCAAAAGCATTCTTCAAATAAAGGAAGAGAAGAGAGGCTTACCTTTGGGTATCACCAGTGGCATTACTTGAAGTATTTAAACTCATGATATGTCTTTCCAACACTTTCAAAATACCCCACTGTTTCTTAATGGTATGCTTCCTTATTGATGACTAAAATTGTCCAGGATGTCTGTGGCTTACAGGTTAGATGAACTGAAGTCTGTTAAAAATAGTAAATGATACAATAGCGGTTATATATTTGAGTACTGAGGGGGTTTTTTTAGTATGGCTGATTTTTCTTCTGTTCTTTGGCTTATTTGTACTTTTTTTTTTAACTTCTCAGTATACATTGTAGTTGATTTTCACGTCCCTTTATCTGTTCCTCTTCCCCCCCATCTGTCCCCTCCCCCACCCCACTACAACAAATCTGTTCACTTGTCTTAACAAGTTCAAGGAACTGTTGTGATTGTTGTGTCTTCTTCCCCCCTTATTTGTATTTTTTTTAATTATTGTATAACAAGAATGTAATACTGGTATTCTACTATATTTTATTACTTTTAAAAAGGATTGGAAGCAAAAATGACAAAATGTTAAAAAGATGTCCCTTACAAGAACAACATAATGATGAAATTATTAGATTATTTTAATTTCTAATTATTGTATAACAAGAATGTAATACTGGTATTCTACTATATTTTATTACTTTTAAAAAGGATTGGAAGCAAAAATGACATAACGTTAAAAAGATGTCCCTTACAAGAACAACATAATGATGAAATTATTAGATTATTTTAATTTCTCAAATGAAAAGAAAAATTATCATAATAAAATAGTGATAAATTATTCTTGAACTTGGGAAAGGAACATGTAGTGCCTATCTCTAAGGCATAGAATTCAGTTTGAAAGAAATTGAACTCCAGGGACATTTTGGGGTCTCCAAAAGCTTTTTCATAAATGAGATATTTTTAATACAATGTTGCAATCAAAGAGGCCAAAGTACTCTCAAACAGAAGATCTCATGATAATTTTCAAAGGCTTTCTCCCAAGGGATCAAACAGGAAGAAGGAAAGAGAAGAGTATTTGTCACTTACCCTGGCCTACTTTCTGGAAACCTCTTCTATAGGAGATATTCCAAACTATACAGAACCAACCATTTAAAGTAAGTTACCTTACCACAGTGCTAAGGAATCTCTGGGTAATTTTAAACTGAGAAATAACAATAATTCATTAAGTCCAAATAGATAAAAATACAAATACAAATATCCTATAACCTCCTCTTCTACTCCAGTAGAAGTCAGCATCCTAAGGAAGAACATGAGCTTTGGACTGAGAAACACCTGAATATGGATTCCATAAAGTACCTTACACTTAAGTATGTGGCCTTGAGAAAGTCACTTAAACTATAAGCCTGTTTCTTCAATCATAAAAAAAAGGATAACTATATCAACCTCATATACTTAAGATTTAAGTAACATACAAGGGTACTTCAAAAAGTTCATGGAAAAATAGAATTAAAATATAATCTTTCCATGAACTTTTTAAAGTACCCCTATACATAGCACATATATAGTACCCAGCCACCATCAGTTTATATACCGAACATAGAACTCTCTGAAAAATACAACGATCTCTGATAAGTGAAGGGAGTAGGTGATACGTGAGGTGATTTGGTCTGGGGGAAAGATGTAATAAAAGAATTATTTAGTGAAATTGGAGGCGTAGGGGGATATCTAGACCCTCCCCCCGCAAAAAGGAGCTAAACTGTTCTGTCTCTGCTCCCGAAAATCAAGCCTCATAAGAGAAGAAATCACTGAGAGAAAACGGATTCAACTGCAGTGCTCAGAACTAATGCCTCCTATGGACAGACACCAATGGATCTTTAAAACAGGCAGTGATTCATGTGGCTGATTGAATAGTTTTACCCAGGACAAAGAAGATAGGATTCTGTACATGAAGGGGGAAGAAGCCACTTCTCCAGAGACCTAAAAGACTAACCTTAGGAATAGTGGTAAACAAACAAATACCACTGTCATTAATCTACTGAGCACCTACTACAGTGCTGAGCACTGTACTTGGTATTTTACATACAGAATTCTGATCCTTACAACACTGCAATGCAAGAATTATCCCATTCTTCAGAAGAGAAAACTAAGAGATTAGAGGTAATTTGCCAAAAGTCACATAGTTACAGGACCAAGATTACAACTCATAGCTGTCTGACTGTAAAGCCCAAGTTTTTCTACAAGGCCACTGATAATACATACAGCTGAACTATGAATTATCTTACCTGAGGTTTATTATCCTCACTTCATAAGAGAGCTAATCTGGTTCAGAGAGGCTAAATGACTTGTCTGAGGCCAGTCAGCTATTAAGTGAGGTTACTAAGGACTCATTCAAGCTCTTCAGGTACCGAATTCCAAAACCTTGTCACTTTACCACCATGCTCCCAAAGATCAGACCCCAGAGAAACTGCCTTCAGAATGGAAGTAAATGAGTTAGAACCTAAAAAGAATGGACTCTTCTGTCCTTATAATATCCAAGCACATACATAAAATGTTTCTATTTTTGTGAAATAGCTTAATTATATACACATACACATGTGAATTTCAGACAGTTAGGGCCTTAATAATTTAATGTAGGGCCTTAATAGTGTATATTGTAATATTTGTATATTGGGCAGAGAAGTACAGAAAGAGGGAGTTCACCAAATTTTAATAAAGTTGTTTCAAAAAAGTTAATTTGAATAGAATCATCATTTTTCAGTGCATTATTGTGGCATCTAATATCTTCAAATCTGAATGATCTTGTAGAGAGACAGTGTCTTCTATAGCTCAGGAGCGAGTTTCATCAATTTCTGGATCATCAATATAGATGTGGTAGGCAGATCTCCACGATCTCCAACCCCTGTACTCTCTCATATAATATCCTCCCCTTGCCTGTGGGCAGAACCCATGACTTCCTTCTAACCAATAGAATATGACAAAGGTGATGGGATGCCACTCAGATGATTACATTGCATTATATAAGACTTTTAGCAGACTGAATAACAGACAATCTGCTAGCCTTAAAGAAGCAAACCACCATGCTGCAAACTGCGTATAAAAAAGGTCACATGACTGAGAACTGCAGGTAGCCTCTTGGACCTGAGGGTGGCCTCCACCCAACAGCAGCCAGTAAGGAGCCTTGACAGCAACCTTGATGAGACCCGGAGCACAGGACCCAGCTAAGCTGTACATGTAGAAACTGTGTGACTCCTAACCTGCAAAAACTATGAGATAATAAATGTGTACTGTTTTAAGCCACTTAGTTTATGGTAACTTGTTACATATCAGTAGAAAACTAATACGAGAAAGAAGATTGAAAATTCTCATGCAGAATTAAAAAAAAGTTGAGCAAAACGGGAAAAGTAGGAAAATGGGTTCTCATGCTAGCTCTGCCTGTGCATGTCTTTTATCAAGTCTGTTTTTCATATAGTTTAATTTCCTTATTAATTTAAACGAGGAAGTTTATAAAGATCCTATCAAAGACAACTAGATTTTAAAAAAAAAAAAGAAAACAGGAAGTCATTGGCAACATTTACAACAAAAGAACCAAATACGAGTGAGTAAGGACAAACCACCAACAGCCACAAAACCGGCATGGAAGCAGTAGAGGTGTCTGTTGAGGAGAAAGCAGAGAGAAATAACAAGGCTGCATCTGACAGAACCCCCAAAGAGACAACAGATATTTAACACAGGCCAATTTTAGAGCAGCAGATGAAACTGGAAGATGTCTGCCCATTCCAAGAGTAGGCACCTGAAAAAGCCATATGGTAAGAAAGTCTTGAAACTCTCAAAACAGACCTGCCAAGGTTCCCTCCCTGGATGGGGCCCATGCTAAAGAGAAACTGCCGGGGATACAACCAAAATTGAGCAGGAAAGGGAAAATAAAGGCACAGTAAAGAGTGGCCCAGATCAAACTAAGGAGAAAATAGAAACAGAACACCTGAGAAAGCAAGCCACCATAGTCTTTAACTCATACAAAACAAGACAGAGTACTATGAAGTTAGAAAAGCTTTCCTGAACCTCGCCTCATTCTCAAAGTTCAGGTAAACTACTCTCCCATAAAAATAAGCAACAAAAAAGTATTATAGTCAAAATCTATACAAAGTTAATATAAGAAAAAAGAGAGTAAGGAGCAGAGTAGTATCCTGTAAATGAAAGTATGACAGAAAGACATGCCCACAAGACAGATGAAAACTATATCTTATTATTTCAAAATGAGCTAAAAGACATCAACAAAATGGTATAAGACATAAAAGAATATGGATCAGAATTAGAAAAATTCAGAAATGAGGTGACAGGGATCAGAAAGAATTAAAAATAAAAGAAAAAGTCA